TTCCAGGGCAGCATGTCTGGTTGGAAGAGCTCCCTGCTCAACATTTGTAGTCTTTGTAACATAGTTGCTGGCATCCACTGGCCCCAGCTCCGTCACCTACCCACTCTTCAGCCCACCGAAGTTTTGTCCAAGGCAGGAGGGGTAGTTCCTCTGAGAAAAATCTGGGGGCTGGAACCAGATGCAAATTGTCACTGAGCAAGCTTAAACAACAGATGGGAGGCAAGTCCAGACAGTGAGTGCTGCACTGTTCTTCCAGTAATTTCTGCAGAGCTGCCCAGACAAAGCAAGGAGGCAGATGTGTAAGAGGGTTACAGGGTGAGGGGAAAGTTCGGCTGTTTTGTAGCAGCTGGAAGCAAGTGAGCGAAATTCAATCTGAAACATAATGAGAGAAGATGCACCTCGAGGCCCGTCTAATACCCCACTCCCATGCACACGGAGTGAGGAGTGTACGTGCACTCTCCCTATACGCCGTCATCAGCAGCCCCCAGGAAACCTTTCCAATGGCCTAAGGAGAAACAAGCATTCAAGTGTGTCCTCGGGTGGAACAGAGAAAATGTGGCTTGCGCAGGGGCCTTTGGTTTGGGACAGGACTACAGTGAGCTTATGCAGAGTCTGGTTCTTATATTTTAGGATTTGTCTCTTGGTCTTGCCGGTTAGCAGGTAGAATGCGGAGCTTTGCGCTAGTCCCCGGGGGGAGGGATGATGTGCCACTCTGACTAGCACTGGGGTTTCTCAGAATTTCCCAAACTGGTAATGAAGGAGACATTAATTGATGCTCCTGGCTTAAGTTCATTGAATACACGTGGGAGGTGCCGCGCCCACAGTTCCTGTCCTGGTTATTCTCTAGTGTACAAACATTGCTGGCCTATCAAGTAAGCTACCTCTTTGTGTTGCTGGCTCTACCTGCTAACCGGCAAGACCAAGAGACAAATCCTAAAATATAAGAACCAAGTCAGTAACCTCATATGTCAATAAGCCTCATAGAGTTGGAAGTCCTTAGAGAGTTTAAACCCACTGCCACATGCATAATACTGTCTACTCTCATTATAAACCCCTCACAACACTGTGGGCCAAGATCAGGGAACATACCTGAATTTCTAAGAAAACCCATTCAAGGAATTCTATTCAGGTGCATTGTGATTGTTCATAATGATATCCTATATTAATCGGTCTACTAAACACCATTAAAACTCTCTTCTGACAGTGTCCATATAGACTGTGGGCAGGGACAAAATGTCACTTGTTCCAGCCTGGTTGCACTGTGCATTTGTGGACTGATAGAGTTAATGGGTGGGTTTTCTGGGATGGCTGGAGAGCAAGTGATCCAAACACAGGTGGACGAGTGAGCCCCTGTGACCCTGGGCCCCTCTGGTAGATGCCAACTGGTGGTCAACTTGCTATTCCCAGCAGAGCTGAGCTAGCATAGTGCTGGGTGTGGGAGGCCCAGCTGAGGGTGGTTGCCAGCAGCGTAAGAGGCAGAACTGGAGGAGAAGAACAAAGGCTGTTAGGGAAGCTATTGGAGCTATTGGGAGCTGCTGGTTCTCTTTGGCTATTCTGCTGTAGGACCTTGTCTCACTGGCTTTCCTGACGCACTTGGCTGTGCTTGTCAGAGGAGGATCTTGGGACCTCCTTGTCAGTGAGGATGGGTGCAATTCATTTTGAGGGAGCTCTGCTCCTCACCTTGAGCATTGCCACTTCCTGGGTCCAGATGGTGCACTGCTCAGCCTCCTGGAGAAGCTTGTCCTGTTGGCTTTCCTGATGGGAACTTGGCTTTTCTCATTCTCAGAGGAGCTCGGGACCTCGCTGTTGCTCAGGATGGCTCTTGGGGGGAGCTCTGGGGCTTACCTGGGCATCGCTTCCTGCCTCCAATCCAGATCCCTCAGCCTGCTGGCACAGATCCTTCACCCGACTGGCACAGACTTTCTAGCATCCACCACTGACCCTTGGGCCCTCCCAGCGCAGATCCATGAAGCAGACCAGCATGAGACATTGTCGTGGGCTCTAGGCCTTCAGTAGCACTTGTGGGAGGCCCTGTTACGAGCTCTGGGTTTTCAGCCGGACTCATGCAGGATATTAGGGTCCAGGCCCTTGGCTGGAGTCTTTGGTCTGTAGTGTGTGGACAGATTCCCTGCACTCTTTGTATTTGGGTGTTTTTTTGTTTTTTTTTTTTTCTTGTGATGTGTTATAAAAATAACCTTATAAAATATGTCCTGTATTGCCTTGTTCTCCTTGCAAAATCCCAAAGCATGACAGTCCCTGAAGCCAGCAGGGGGGGCCCAGGATGTGGCCAGGCAAAGACTGAGCTCCAGAGAAGAGGGGAGTCGAAGGAGTGCAGAGGTGACAGCTGGCGGCTACACGTGCAGAAGGGGCAGGTGACAGGAGGGGGCAGGAGCTTCTGGTGGGAAACTGGAGCAGTTGCCATGATGGGCGAGCGTGTGAAGACAGAAAAGCAGGTGATCTGGCAGTGCCAAGGCTGCAGCCAAAGCTGGGACTGATGAGCACATCGGGGCAGCGTTTCCACTCACTGCCCCTTGGTGCCCAGAGACAGAACTGGAAAGAGTGAGGGTGGAGTGCCGTGTCATAGAGGCCGGGAGAGCGAGGAAGTTAATGATGAGGGTGATGCTATTGGAATAACTGTTAATCAGGCCCAGGAAAGGGATGGAAAAAAGTGAAATTACAGGGGTCATAGGTGGCTTTGACAGTGGCATAATGCGTTTGAGACTCGGTACAGGTGGAAAGTTGTGATCCGCAGTTCCCTATGGCTGCCATAAACCGAGGAGCAGAGCACGACCTGTGTCTACTCCTTCACAGTTCAGAAGGCCAGCCGTTCAGACTTCAGGAGCACACGTCTCAGGAGGGTGCAGCCTTCCTGCCCCCGGGCTCTGGGGGCCGACTCTGGTGTCCTCTGCTTGCACATTGTTGCTCCACACCCTGCCTTTCTTTTTAGGTAGTCATTTTCCCCGTTGTCTCTTCACTTAAAGGGACACTCATCATTGGATTTGGGTCCCCCCAATCCAGGGTGATTTTACCTGTAGGTTCTTAGTTCCATCTGCAGAGACTTCAAGTAAGGCCCCCTCAGGTCACACCCGGGGTCTAGGTGGATGTAGCTGGAGGCTCTTCATCCAGCCCACTGTGTTTCGTGTTTCATGGGGAGTGAAATGTTGCACCTAAGCCTTTCAAAGTCATGAGATTTCAATGACAAAACCCAAGAGGTGCTGTGTGTAGGAATTGCTGAAGACAAATGGCGGTGTTTGGGGTAGGTAAGATCAGAGAACTAGGAGGCCAGCTCATTAGGTAGAGGCACTGTGTCCCATAGGAGCTGCGGAGCGGAAGGCTAGCAGGCTCTGTCTTCCTGAGGCGTGAAAGGACAGAGGCCAGGGGTTGGTAATCAGAGTACGAGGAATGGGCAGAAGGGGACTGAAGTGTTTCTTAGTCCTGCCTTAGAATTGACAGAAGAGCTTTTAAGAAGTACCCAACTTAGTTTGAATCAACTGCTCTAGGAAAGAGCCCAGATACCTTTATTTTAAAAAGAAAGTTTAAAATAAAAATACCCCTAGAAAACTGCATCGTTCTCACGTACAGCCAAAATCAAGCAGTACTAGTGTGAGAGAAGAACATGGCCGTGAGCCAAAAGCAACGATGGGAAGCAGGGCGTTCGCCTCTGAAGGCCTGAAAGGGGCTTGCTGGGCAGGCGATTCTCAGCTTCCCACCTCATCTCCAGCAGAGCCAGGAGATGAAGTAAACAAGGCAGAGGAGAGCAGCCACCTGCCTCGCTCGGGCGGCCTCTGACCCTGGCGTTCTGGGCTTCATACAACCTCCACAGAAGATTTATTTCTGATGTTTTCTCAACAGGAGAAGATGCCAGGAATCATCTCTAGAACAGTTGCTCTTCGTGCAAAACAAGCGTTTTTCCCCTCCTACCCCCGAAAAGATTTGCTTAATATATTTGGAGCAATATCTCTTCCAGAACAATATTCAGTGGCTTACTTTGTATTTTGAATATGCATTAAATGCATTAAAATTTTCAAGCAGTGTAAAAGATTATAAAAGACAAAGTGATTCTCATTTAGCCTTCCTCTCCTGCCTCTACACCCACCTCAGCCTGCCTCCCCTGAGGCAGCTAGTTTTACCAGTTTCTTGTGGATCCTTCCTGAGGTACACACAGCTATACCTTGCCTGTCTTTATTAAAGCTACACAGTTACTCCTTAGTATCCTTTGGAAATGGTTCGAGACCTCCCTACCCTTCCCCCACCCCCGCTCCCCTGCCCCCACCCGCCAGGAGGCGCTGAAATCCACCAGAGCTCAAGTTTGTATAGAGATGTACCAGTGATGCGTAGCTTCCTCGGTTCAGCCATGATCCTGGTGTTAGCCAAGTTGCATGAGAACAAACAAGGTCAGCGTTAGGCTCAGGGTGGACCTTACGGGGAAATGATGCAGTTCTCGTCCAGGTCAGTTTACTACCAGAATCGTGGGGAGCACTGGGTTTACGGGCTCTGATGCCACTGTACGTGTTTGCCCATAACCTGTACACACCCTCCTGTACCCCTAAGGCACGTCTGCATGACCCCTAAGTTCTAATACAATGTAGATGACATGTAAGTAGCCATTCTATCGTACTGTTTATGAATAACAAGATGAAAGTTCATAAGACGCAGTTTTTCCCCGAGTATTTTTAATGAGCAGCTGGTGAATCTGCAAAGAACTCTTACACATGGAGGGCCACTGCAGGTGGGAAGTTGCTCCCTATTCATGCTTAGAGACACACCTGACTCCTTTAATTGGCTAATCCGCAATTTATTCAACCCATACTGATGGATGTTTGGGTTATTTTCCCTCTTAAAGCAAATCAGTGAAAGATATCTATGAAAACCAACACTGAGTTGCCTCTTCACTGGGCGCCAAACCAGGCTGTGCGGCCCAGGGGAGGGGCTGGCAGCGGCTTGGGGCTCCTGCTCCGGTGCTCGGACCCCCACTAACGATGCGCTGCTTCTGCCCACAGGAGCCTGATGCCCAGGACGCTGGAGACCCAGATCACGCTGGAGAAGACGCCCAGTTATTTTGTCACCCAGGAGGCCCCCCGCCGCATCTTCAACATGTCCCGGGACACCAAGCTCATCGTAGTGGTGCGGAACCCGGTGACCCGCGCCATCTCGGACTACACGCAGACGCTCTCCAAGAAGCCCGACATCCCCACCTTCGAGGGCTTGTCCTTCCGCAACCGCACGCTGGGCCTGGTGGACGTGTCCTGGAACGCCATCCGCATCGGCATGTACGCGCTGCACCTGGAGAGCTGGCTGCGCTACTTCCCGCTGGCCCAGATCCACTTCGTGAGCGGAGAGAGGCTCATCACCGACCCCGCGGGCGAGATGGGGCGCGTGCAGGACTTCCTGGGCATCAAGAGGTTCATCACGGACAAGCACTTCTACTTCAACAAGACCAAAGGATTCCCGTGCTTGAAAAAGACACAGTCGAGCCTCCTGCCTCGATGCCTGGGCAAATCCAAAGGCAGAACTCACGTGCAGATCGACCCCGAGGTGATCGACCAGCTGCGGGAATTTTATAGACCTTATAATATTAAATTTTATGAAACCGTGGGGCAGGACTTCAGGTGGGAGTAAGCTTCATCTCGTCCATGAGGTTGCTGCCTGCGGCTCTGGGGCTCCTCTGCGCTCCACAGACTTGGCCTCCAGCCCACTTCCCATCTTGGGTTCCAGCTTTTGGAGCCAGGCGGTTCCCAAGGCCAAGGCCGCAGGCCCTGGAGGTTCCCGCCTCTAGTTCTCACCAATCTGTCCAGGCAAATCCGATTTGCCTCTGACACATCCATTCAGTCCCCCAACTGTCTCCCTCCCATCTGTAGGAGGCCTTGAGCGGGCTGCTCTCAGCAGAGCGGGTCTTCAGTGATCGTGCAAAGTGCAAGTGGTGATGGCTGCACAGCCACGAACACAACTGCTGTTGCTGTCACTGCCCACCAGGAAGGGACTTGTTGATTCCGAGTGGCATGCACTTCCTCTCTGAGCTTCTCTCCCCAGAGCAGCCTGGGTGGTGGGAGGCGACAGCCTCCTCAGCCTCCTCAGACCTCGCAGAGGTTGCAAAGCTAGGTGCATCCCTTCTATGATGAGATAAGGCAGTGATTTCAAAACCTGTGGTCTCTGCCATGCTTGGAGGATGCTGTCCTTGAAAACCACCCTGTGACTCCCTTGCTCCCTGTGAACAAAAGCACATAACTGCTGTTACGGGTACTTTCCTCATGCGCGCTTTCATGTGTAGCATGCGACAGAATCATGCTTGTCCATGTGAAATAAATACAGCTCTCTCGTGTCCTTAGCTCTCAACCTGGTAAGCCAGGGTTACCGCATCTTCTGTTCACTCAGCTCCTCCCGCCTGGAGGTGCAGTTGGTGCTGGGAGAGTCTGGGAGGGCAGTGAGGGCTACAAAAGCCACACTGCACCATGGGGAGGCTGGAGGACAGGCGCCGAGCGTGCCAGAGCAGCCTGGCTCAGAAAGGCCACATAGAGGTCTCTGCAGGCATTCCCTTGTGGAAACGTGTCTGCCTGGTAGGGTCTTTGCTCAGCTACTTTAGATTGCAGATGCCAAAGAGAAGGGCTGAAGGTTGAGGGCACAATGATGTATCTTTTACTTGGCCAGCATGATGTTTTGAAATAACTGCAAACAATTAAAACTAGAAGAGCTAAAGGCGTTTGTATAAAGTATGGACCCCACCATTTTGGTACTGGATATTGGGCCCCAAGGATGTGCACCTGCTAGGCAAGAGTTTTACCACTGAGCTACATGCCCAGCCCTTTAAAGATTTTGAGGCAGGGTCTTGCTGACTTACCCAACCTAGGTTCCTGCCTCAGTATCCCGAGCAGGAGTTACAGCTCTAGAAGGCTTCGCCCAGGGCCACCCACTTGGTCCTTGTGAAGCTTTCCCAGACGAGCTGACCTGTCTGCCGCTCTTTTGCGTTCACCTAGCTGCTAGGATATGTAACTCATGCCAGCACTGATTGCCAGATTCCACTCACGTGCGCACCCGAGCATCCACCACAGGCCATGAGCCCACGGAGGATCAAGCTGTCCTTGCTAGAGTAGGCACATGGGAACTGTCTGGTGGGTACACGGAGGGAGGAATGGACTTTGGAGGCCTGGGGGCAAAGGCAAGGACATCCCTAGCAACTGCGCTTCTGGGATTTGCTTCCCAGATAGTTCCAGGGCTGGGGAGATGGCTCAGTGGAGTAAGTGCTTCCTTGGCAAGTGCAGGGGCCTGAGTTCAATCCCCAGTTCTGCAAAAAAAAAAAAAAAAAAAAAAAAAAAAGCAGATCCAGATAGTTCCAAAGTACAGGCAGCCAGGGAAGGATTGTAGAATCCCAGGAGTCTCTTAGCCTTTGCCTGCTCTGTCTGGCAAGGTAGAAGTTCCCTGGAAAAGAAGACCTGATTACAGGGGGGAAGGTTCAATAGCTTCAAGCGCTGACTGTCTACCCCATCGCTCTGGCCTGCGGCCACACTTGAAGCACCTTCCAGCCAGGACGTCACAGGCCGGGGCCACAGCACTGCTCAGTCCTGTGAGGCTGCTATTTTCTGCTTCCTGCACTGGCACAGAGAAGCGCTAGGAGGGCAAGAGCCAGAACCTTGGGAGCTGGGCCCCGGGGCCCCCGGTGACCAAAAGAAGGACGGGCTGTATGGAGACATCACCCTTCTGTGTTCCCCACCGCAAGCATTTGCTGTCCTGGGACCCTGAGCCACGCAGCTGCCAAAGCTGCAGCTAGCTGCAGGGGGAGGCAGAGGCACGCTGGGCACGAGGAAGCGCCCTACAGAAAAGCAGTGAAGCATGTGCGTGTTCCTCACGATAGGGAAGACTCCAGCTAGACTTGAGGAAACCTCTGGATTTAGTGTGCACAAACGCAGCTTTGCAGCTCCATACTAAAGCATTCTCAGGCTACCCACACTGAGTAGCCTCCCAGTTTTAATGAGTAGGTATGAGTGTCTTATAATTAGCATATCAATCATTGTATGCAAATAGGAGATGCTAAAATACCTTAAATGAGTAAACTCTGTAGTCTGCGAATCTGCTCAGCAAACTGATTTTTAATCCTGTGCAAATGTACCTTATCACCCAGGCTGCCCCAGGGCAAACTCACATAAGTTCCAAATTAGTGGGATTTAAATAGATGAAGTTTGACTGAAACTTCAATCTGAGACTAAAAAGGCTCCCCAGGGTGCCACTGTGTGTGCGTGTGCATATTTGGCAAAGTTGCTGAAGCAGAAATCCAAAATAGCAGTGCCTTAACAGATCGAGTGTGATCCTTGTCACTAATAGCACGGGCAGTGGTGGCCAACCTATGGCTTGCATGCCAGCGGGCTGTTTGTACCACTGAATGCTCCAGAAGGTTCGCCATCACCGGATCCACGTGCACAGAGATCCGCAAAGCTGGAGACTCAGAATCGTGGCCTTCCAGTGCCAGTGGTTGAGGATGGCTATGGCTGTGGTCCATGCAGCAGAAAGAGTAAGAAGTGAAGGGGCAACAGAAGGGAAAGAACAAGGGCTATTGACCCCGAGCTCGCTCCAGCGAGGAGTCTTGCCATGGGCGGAGCCTCAGAGGCAGGCAGAGGAGGGGAGAGCTCTGCAGAACAAGGGCAAGGGCTCCGGGTCTGTCTGCTGAGGCTCTCGACCCACGGAAGCGGGAGGCAGCTCGCTGGAAGTGGTGCGTCGTCCAGGATTGATTCGGGGATGTACTTGGCTTTCTCTAGTTCATCCTGGATTGGAACAGATAGAGGGGAGACAGCAGTCAGTAACCAAGTCCTGACCCTCCTACAGCGGAGGTGGGCCAAGTTTCATTGTCGTATCATCTAGCCATTTTTCCACAGGGTCATCCAATCTCTTGGGATCAAAAAGGGCCACGGGAAGAACACACTCTTCCTTGCAGGTTGCATCGTCATTTCTACCGATGGATTTCCGCGCTGCAAATGACTACCCTGGAGCGGTGCAGAGCGGCGCTACTGCTCTCGCCATATGCCGTGGGTACACGCGGCACTTAGCCGTGGGGGGAGCTGGGAAATGGAACCTTCGGGGGGGGGGGAGGCTAGCATGCTCAGCTAAGAGCAGACTGTCCTCTTCTACCAAACGCATAGAACAGATATTGAACGACACCTAGCTGCCTTGGTCACAGACCCTTTTCCATGTCACAAAGCCTTCAGCTACATCTGGTTCTTTCTGTGACTCTGGGGTACCACACATGAGGCAAACTCTCCATCCATGTGGAATTCTCCTACCCTGTGTCGCTGTCTAAAGACAACGGGGCATGGAGGTGCACAATGTTGGGGTTTCAAGTCTCCACCTCTGCTCTTTCCTAGCTGCACGACTTTGGACAAATTATCCAACATCCCTAGTCAATCAGTACAATGGATTATTATTTCTTTTTTGGTACTGGGACTAGAACTCAGGACCTTCTTGCACTTGCCAGGCAGGTGTTCATGCTGCTGAGCTGTTTCCCTGACAGTACATTGGGATATAAATTGTCCCTGTGCTGAGGGGTTTGTTGTGACAATTGAAGCACATGTGTGGCACAAAGTAGGTTCCTTTTACTCTCGCTTTTTAGTTCTGAAGTAGAATCTGCCGTGGCTCAAATGCGCCCATGAATTCAGACCAACTGCAGCACCAACACCCAGCTCATGACAATTTCTGGCCTTCTCAGCATATCCTGGATTAATTTACAGCCCAGGCTCAAGTGGCTCAGGCTCAACTCTAGGCTCCAGGGTCTTTGGCCAAATAAAGCCAACATGCATCATCTTTAGAGTATAAGGTTCAGCTTGCTTTTAGACGCCAGAATTGGAATGGCATTGTGTCTCCCAAGAAGCAGAAGAACACGGTGTCATTTGGTCCTCTACCTGGGCTAAGAATCTGCTAGATGAAATAGATATTTAAAAACAGAGTCATCGTGGGATTTTGTCCCCTGAACCTGCACGTCCCCCAGCTCAGTGTGCCGGCCAGGGCCCAAGATGCGCAGTGCATTTCTTCCATTTGGCTCCTGCAAAGATTAATGAGAATGAGAATCACATAAGCAAGTAATTGTTACACAGTGAAATAAGCCACAAGCACATGGCAAGGAGTTGGGAAGAGTGGACACTGCTGTCCTAAAAGGAAGAAATGGGGAGGAATTGCCACCTTCTAGGGAAAGGTGTTCCAGGACAGCCTGAAAATCCCCTGCAGGCTGGGCTTTGAAAGTGAATGTGGTCAGGCCTAGGGCCCAGTCTTGGATCTCGACCCCGAGCCCATCTCGGTGACTTCCCCGTCCCAGCCTCAGTGTGTCCCTGTGTCCATGGCACCTCTCACGCCTGCCTACCACTCTTCCCCAAGATAAGCTGGCTGGCTTAGCCTCCCTTCTCAGTGGACACGTGCACTCTCCTCTCTTCACCCCACCTCCCAGGGGCCAGCGCACAAGAGACCTGGAGAATTAATTAAGCCACCACATAGAGATTAGAGGACTCCTCACAATACAGCAATGACCTTGACACTGAGCTTCCTGACAAATATGGAAAATCTCCTGGTTTTCATCATCAGGGAGTGGGGAGCAGGCAGGCACATCCACAAAACAGCTTATAACAAATCCTACCCCATTTTCTTGC